TTCTATCAAAATAACAAATCAAAATGACTTTGAGAGTAGCAACTAAAGTGTTAAAAAATGTTTATTAACAATACTTGGATCAGGAGGAGGTTTCATATGACCAGTAATGTAATTTCATTTATCATTATTTAAATGCTAGGAAGGAAGTTCACCCAGGCACACAACTGTGTCTGTTCATGAAAATCAAGGTGTTGGTGTACAAATAAATCAAAGCAGAAAGATTGAAGATCTTGACCCTATATTTACATAAAATTTTTATAAATAGTTGAATGGACTCAGCATTATGTCAATCACTTCAGGTAATAATTGCGAATTATTATTATGTTCACAGTGGGAACCATAATCTATTTAAGTATTTCATAGTACATATACAGAACAAAAATATGCAGTGGCAAAACTGTCAGATCTCAGTGTAGATTACTAAATGTTACTATTAGCAAAATGAAGATTAAGTAAATTATTATTATTAATAAGAATGTATTAATAATAGGAGTTATTAATATGCCTGCAATAGTTATCCATGAGATACCAAGGGAAATGTTTATATTCAGAGCCAGAACTACACAGACGGAACACCATCAATATTAAGACATATTGACAAGTTTAGGGTATTTTTTGATCTACCTACTCTCCAGATCCTTTATCTAAATAAGAAAAATGAAATCAAAACAAAACAAAAAAAACCCAACCAAAGAAAATAAAACAGGCCAAGAAAACAAAGGAAAAAATAGACTTCTTTCCCCCCAAACTCCAACACACTAGCATTAACCAGAGCACAAATGGCACCAAAGCTGATAGCACCTGAAATAAATACATCTCTGTAACACTGACATATCTGAAAAATAATTTTTTTTTCATCAAGGAATATAGAGTTTTTTGTTGTTACTGTCAAATATTCAGTGACATTTCTTATATTTCCCAAATTACACAGAATATTTTATGCATCTTGTGAGCAAATAAAATTAAACAGTACAATTTATTTTTATTTCAGAACATTCAAAACTTCTTTTACTAAATAAAGGATTAAAATTATTTAAATTCATTTTCCACTATTTATCATATTGAAAATCCTCCTGCAAGTAATTGACATAAACTTCTGTAAGGATAAATCTGTGACATATGCTAGCACTCTTGGAACTGATAAAAAAATTGAACAAACTTATTTTTTCTCAGAGAAAGACAAAATTATGTGGGCATCCGAGTTCAAAATTTAAATCAACAGAAAAAAAAAAAATCTTTTGACATTTGGAGTCATTCAGTATCTATGGCTGTATGAACTATTAACTGTTTAACTTAGTTTAGAACAAGTTTAGGATAAAAACCCCAGTGTGCAATGTGAGACACTAAAAAATAAGACTCATCCAAGCGCTCCTTTTGCATAGAATATTTATTTTACTAATTAAAAGACTCACTATTTAAAATTTGCTGGCTCAAACACAGCAAATCTAACAATCTCAACCAGTTCTTGCACTAGTTACTGGCAAAAAATAATGGGCAAAGTTAATTCAAACTGTAGGTGTATAACACAGCCCAAAAGAGATCTGAGACACTGAGGACAAATCTGGATTACCTGGACAAATTACAGAAAGAGTAAGACACTACCAGAGTTATGAAGGATATTAAAAATGCCTGGAAGAAAATCTTTCATTTGTGTAAGCTCTGAGAAGACAAGAGTGATCTAATGAAACCTTAGCTGCCACCAAAAGTACTTGTTTTCTGCCTTGATAATATAGAAAATTACATTTGATCATATCATCCTTTCAAAACCTTCTGTGAATAAATACAAAGGTTTAGAAAGAGCAGAAATACCTGCTAGAGGATTTATGGGGATAACTGCTCCTGAAACTTCTCATGACTACACCAGTGTGTCTAAAAGAGTACTTCAGCTGTCACAAAGACTTAGCTAGACGTGTCTGTAACATGCCATCCATCCTCACTCAAAATCTGAGCAGGAATATAGCAAAGTACAACCCAGCAATGTTTACCATGAAATGGTCTTCAAATATCTTACAGTGACAGGAATAGTGACTGGTGCACTATCAACACAGAGCAAACCTATGATTTTTGAAGCAGAACACACAAGTCTTTGCAGCTCATACAAAAGATGCATTCTCAAACAGAGACCTCAGTTTTGTCTCACTCATTCTAGTTTTGTCTCACTCATTCTCTTTAGACAGGACGTAAAGGAGAACATGTGACACATTTAATTGCACAACCACAAGTTCCCAGGCAAAACACTGAAATGAGAAATCTGTACTCATAATTTATATCTCCCGTCCATATCTGGTATGTTTTCACTCTACAAAATAGACATGATGCACGCACATTGTTCCACAGCTCTGCAGCAACGTGCATGCAGATAAATGCATTTGCTTCCTGCAGTGCAGCACTAACTGCTAAGAACTTGGCAAAGTGCCCCCAGCGAAGAGCCCTGTTTTACACAGCCCTGTTTTTATGTTTTTATGTTTTTATGACACTGAGATAATCCAGGACAAAACTGCTGGTTTTGAAAGTTGGTTAGAAAAAGGATGAACAGTAAGGAGAACAGTGAGACTACAGATGACCAATTTGACAATCAGAATTCGTGGCTTGCAAAATGCTTCCATTCTGTCACCTCTGTTACAGAAGCCCAGACGTGATCAGAACACACCTAGCTGCCTGCATGTCTTTCAAGAAATGGTATAAACAGCTTCAGAGGAGCCCAGAAAACATAAGATGTGAAACATTGTCTTCTTCTCACCCAAGCTGCGGAGATTTCCCCACATCTACTATTTCTCAGATGAATCTCTGTTTAACACTTTGGAAATGAGCATAGGAGGACTACACTGTGGCATGTCTGTCCTATAATTCTGCAAATTCACCTTGATATACTCAAGTACTTTAAGGCACTTAGTAAATTTTTATTTTTTTTTTTATCTGAAAAGGAGGAAGAAAAAAGGAACTTGGAGGAAAACAGTATCTAACTTTAACTAATACTCTCTGAATTCTCCTCAAATTCCAAAAAAAAAACAACCTAAAAGCCGTAAAGTATCTCAAATTTCTGAAAATGTGTACAGAGAAAAGTCAGAAATTACACTTGGAACACTGCAAAAGCTTGATTTTTTAGTTCTTCACTTCTCTTAGTGTACTATGGAACCATAGCAAAATTTATAGAACATTGCGCAGTGTTCTAGGAAAAGGATATTTCTGAGGGGTTTTTGGTTAGTTTTTTTTTTTTTTTTGGTTTATACAACAGAGATAGGAAGTTTCTCTTAGAATGGCCTTTTGAAAACTAAGGTCATACCCCCTGAGAAGCTGCTTCTTCATTACAAAATCACATCTCAAACTTCTGTGAATGGTAAGTGTTAGATAAGAATTTGTGCTAATCTGGCAGGGGAAAAAACTTCAGATTCTAAGTCTTGTCACTAATCTAAGGTGACAGTTATATCAATATTTTTAAAATTGAGGCAGAGAATTGATAATTAGCATTCCACTAATCCTGTGTTTTAGAGGAGAGACTGGTGATCCAGGAGACATTCACTCCTGGGAAAGTTCATTTCAGCACAGCTAAATTGGAGTGTTATGTTCTTGAGGCCTGTTCCTACAGTACTACATATAACTGTCTTTTGAATGTGGGTTTTCAGTCATGTAAATGTGCAAAAATATATCACTTTTTTTTTTTTTTTTATTTCCCTTTTTACAAAGTCCATATATATTTATTAATATTTGCAAAGCTGAAGAGGTATGAAAGAGGAGTAATGAAAAGAAAGGAAAACTATTGTTACAAAGCAGGCACAGCATACAATAAAACAGAACTAATCCAATGCATAACTTTAAAGTTGGCCAACCTTATCAGGAGAGAAATATCTAATGAAAGGCAAACAAACACCAATCTCACTTTTCCTTTTCATATGTGTATCTGTATTATTGTAAATTTATCAAATAAAGGACAAAGAAAATTTAAAAATCAACAATTGACTGCTTATTAAAGGAATGGAGTCAAAACAAAATTCTAAAAGAATTTTTGTCAGTAGATAACAAAGGAGAAGAAGATAATTATTATTTAATTTACTGAGTTATTTCTCTAGATGCAAGGTCTCAAAGGCTTCCACTTCCAGCCTTCATATTGTAATAACTTGTGCCTCCTAAACTTATAAAACATTAGAAGCTGAAACTCTTTTTCAGTAACTATTCAAGACATAAAGCTGAATGTCCTTCTGAACATCCTAGAATCTGTAATTTTATTTTTTAGTTCATATACTTTGCTCCAGCATTTACATTGACTATTTTGAGCTCTGTTCCTTAGAAAGACTCCCAATGGTTGATTTCAAACTAAGTCAACCTTTTAATGTTTTCTTTATAACAGTCACAATGTTAATAAATAAGTAAATAAATAAATTAGAGATTTTTTTTCAATAATGACATACTTTAAAAATCATATTCTCATTGTTTAGGCATTCATTTAAGTCAAAGGAGGATCTCATCTTGGTATTACATTAATCACTTGATAAAAACCCTGATACAAACCAATGAACACTGTCATGTGGGCACACATTTAAACTACATGAGTTTCTACTTAATTATCTTAATTTCAGAAGTAATATTTATTCACTTCATCTGCTAAAGGATGTTAGCCTCCCTGTAAATATAATATCTAATCAAAAAATATTTTTCATTTCTCTTTTGTGTACAATTTCTATATTTTCCATCCTTAAATTGATGTCCTTAAATCTCTCTTTACACTCTCACTTACTGACAAATTAGTTTACCAACACACAAAACAAGAAGTAAATATTTCAGTTTTTGTTCTAATGGAATATTTCTCCCTTAAGGTATTTCCTGCCTGGAACATGTGCTCAGCTTGATTAAAATAATTTTTTGTATCTAACATAGGGTAGAAAGTCTTTCATATGTTTCCATCACTTATGTACTATTTCCAATCTATTTTACACAGATATTATTAAAGTGAAGTGTTCACCTCTAGCTGCTTTGAAAAAATATTAGTAGGAAAACACACTCACCTTCAGGCTCCCCACAGAGTGTACACTGTGACTCTGCAGAGAAAAAGAGAAAATTATAATTTCTTTATTTTAGGATATCATAATTATATCCAAATATAACAAAACTTAGAGAACTCAAAGTTAGCACAAAAAATACAATTCTATTTTCAGCACACATTTCTTAAAAGGTGCAAAACAATTTAAAAAATAAAAATATTTTTGCAGGAAGAATTTTAAAACAGAACTGTATAAATGTTTAGTTACATTTATATAACCTTCAGAGCCTCTAGATGACTGCATTCATGTAGCAGGACTTTTTGCTTCCACATGACTTTTTGTGTTCTGATATGTACAATACTGCAGTGACAACAGTCACTCAAATAAAAAATTTAAACCTGCTAATATTTTGCTATTGGAGGTAGCAAACAGTAATAGTGACAGAGTTATATTCCTTTTTCATAAAAGACTCCCAAGTTCTCCTAGGCAAGAGAAGTCAAACACTCATTCAAATGTACACTTACATTCTGCAAAACATTCAAGTATAGAAATGAAGGAAATAAAACTCCATCATAACAAGCATACAATCTCTAAATGTGCAGTTACTATTTTATCCACACACCGCTATTTGGAAATTGGTTGTCTTAAAATCTATTTTGCATAATGTACAAATACATGGAGAAAATATTTTGAAGTATCTCTTGAGACCAAGTTGTTTCAGGAGTCAGTATCAAGCTGTAGAACAAAGCTACTGTTTAGAATCCAAATACCAAAATCAATTGAAATCCCAGGGTATGTAATCATGTTGGCAGATAATTCTGATATACTGGTAAAACTCCTTCTAGAAACAAGAAACACTATATTTTTTATCACAAATCTCTGAAATCTTCATTTTAACCCTCAGGTGAAAAATGACATCTCCAACAGCAACAAGTGTGCTGAAGTAAATGTATATATGTGCAGGCACACACACGCACTTGTACATTGTATACATTTTAATATAAAATCAGTACAAAAAAGCAGCTTAACATGCCTGGCAAATAAAAGTCCACTACAAAACCTTGCTGAAATTATCTCCACCTTGAATAAGAGATAGAAGATTTAACTTAGCTGTGATCTTCACTCAAAGGCAAAAAATGTCAGAAAAATACAATATGAAACACATGCACTGAGCAGATTGACCTCTGTAGCACTGTGGTGACACTGCCAGATTTTCAGAAGTACTTTCTCCATACAGATAAGAAGCTGTCTCACAGTAACCCCCTGTTGTAATGGCACTTGACCCTACATCTTTCATATATTTTAAACATGTTAATCACTGGGGTCTTACTACTGTTAGAGACAGTGGCATGCATGCGGGAAAGGAATGAGGAAAAAGAAGTTTTTCCAGGCAGCTCTGCTGATGATAGGTAGATCACAACTTTTAGAACACCATAAACTTGTGTGATGAAAAGGAATGAAATTTAAAGCAGTTCAGAACCATGACATAAGTAACCAAAGTTTGTACTGACAGACTCAGTGTCTCCAGCAGAGCTGGCAAACTCGAAACAACACTCCAATAGCAGGCTTGAGAAAATCTCCAGTCAAGAGCACGAAAAGCCTGGTCACAGGTAAATCAGGCCAGTTTCTTCCGCTGCACAATGAAAAATGCACTTGCCACAACATGAAGTGATGCAGAGGAAACAGCTCAGAAGATCTTTTTTTCACGTTTAATTCAAAGACTTTCTGAGATTTCACTGAGATGGGCTGTCTGCCTGTGTGTAGTTTGTTATCCTGATTGATAAGGAAGAGTAAGCTGAGACTTGGCTTCTGAACTTCTGACTTTTTTTGATCCTCTATGTTCTGCTAACAACTTCTTCACCAGTTTTTTACAACTCAAAGTCTGCCTGACATATTTTTCGCCTTCTAACGCCATCTTCCAAATGTGCCCACTCAACAGTACAAATTACTAGCTTCCCTCTTTTTCCTCATAAACAAAAATTAGTGCCAATATTACAAGTCTGCAACATACTAGATAGTCTATCCGCAAAACAGGGCTTGCAACTATGACTAGTGCCAGAAAGCTGTCAAAAGCTAGAGAGGTGTCAGCACCATCCTTGCCAGACTACTGCTTTTTTGGACTTTTTTCAGATGTTTATTTAGGGTCCCGTATCTGTGGGCAACCCAGGTGTCCCCCTATCTCAGCATGCCAGAGGAGACTTCATGTGGGGATTTTGTTTTTATGCCTTCCAGCAGCTGGGAATCATTTCAAACTGACAGCAGCACATCTGTCTTTATCCTGCTAAGAAGCAGAATTTGTGGATGTGGATAATTCATCAGTAAGTCTCTGTTTATTAATTTCTCTGCTGTAGTTTGCCACTGGGGTGGGGAGACTAGATACCCTTGTCATTGTGCTTGACACATACAGGTTGAGTGACAAATAAAAACACAACCAGTTCTAGTAGGCATGTAAATAACGTGACAAGGAGGTTGTACAGAGCCCTGCTTTCCACCGAGCCTGTGTGAGAGAGACAGAAATAATTACTTCTCTGTATAGTCTGTTTAGATCTGTACATTCTATTGCCATTGTTGAGAGACTGCATGCCCTCAGTTTCTAAAATGACAACACATAAAACACACACATGGCACTCAATTATTTGTAGATTTACATTATATGGAAATATAAGAAATCTGAAAATTCTGTTAAGAAGCTATGATTTGCCATATATTTTAACTTTTTTTCTCTGTAGTGAAGTTGCTGTATGTTGGTAGAAAAGATCTTTCTGGAAGATGGCTCAATGCTAAACACCTGTATTAATTGAAATTTTTTCTAATTTTAATTTCTGTTCTGGGAGAAGATGACAACAATGAAGGACATGACAACAGTACGCCGTTCCATCAGGTGAAATTACGTTGTTTAGGCTTAGATCCATCTCACCCAAAGTTGAGTATCAGCATTAATTGAGTGTATCAGCAAAATCTAAACTAGCCTCAAAAAATTTACCAATGAGAGTAAAGAAACAGCCACCTAATCTGCCTTAGAAATTTATATAGCATGAAATCAAAATCAAGAAGTCACCTTTTTTTAAATTACCCATTTTTTTAATGTTTTAAAAGGTCTTAGACTTCATAATAACATTTGCTCCAAAAGAGGAGTGTTTATTATAGGTGACCTCTGAGATTAACTAGTTCAGCCTCCCACTGAGAGCAGAGAAGGGCTTTTGCCAATACAACTTCAACTCCGCTGGGGCTTAACAGTCAAGTCCTGAAAGTCACCGAGGATGGAGATTCCACAACCTCAGTGAGCAGCCTGCACCAGTGCTGCATCAGCCTCATTAAGCTGTATTTGAATCTCTTGGTCTGCAGTTTGTGACCATTCTTCCTTATTATATCACCCAGCATTGCCAAAGTGACTTTTGCTCCATCCTGGGTGTAACTCTCCTTCATGTAGCCCACTATGGGTCTTCACCCCAATAGACTAAATAAGCCCATCTCTTTCAACTGCTCTGGAAGAGGGTCCTTTGTTGTTGAAAAGGGTCCTCCCTTTTCTCCCTATGCTTGTGGAAGCAGGGAACACAGTACTCCATGTGCCATCAGCCTCACCAGCACCAGAGGGAAGTAATAACCTCGACAGCTTGCTAATCATACTTGTGCTGACATAGGCCAGCACACACTTCACCTGATAACAATGCATCTATCCACCCATGTGCAGCTTGGTATTCATGTTCATTCAGAAAAAATAAACTAGTATATCAAGTCCTAATGAGATGAGTTCCCTGATCCAAGTCTCTCACCTATTATAGCAGTGCTAATGTATGTGAAATTATGGCCTCGTGCAAGTAACTTTTCTATACCCATGCTGGATAAAATGTTGAAGTGGATGAAATAAAAGCAGGAACATGACCATATTTCAGACAAAGAGATTTCTTAAGCCTCTCCCTTGCACAATTCCTAGTAATGGATTATGTCTGTAAATATCTGATCCGTCCAAAGTATTATAGTGATACTTTCACAGGAGGTAGTCTTTGTTGTATGTTGCTAATCAATTGCATTTAACAAAGATGCTCCTTCAAGAAAACACTCATCCATCTGAGTAACTTTTTGTCATAGCTCTCAATAGTAAAATGACTAATATAGGTGAGTGTTCAGAGATTTAGGACCCAATAAATCAATAGAACAAGGAAAACCTGTATTCATATTATTAATCTCACTCTGTCATTTTGAAATTGTCTAGCTAACAGAAATAATGTTCCCAGATACAAGAACTTGCTGACAAAATAGGTCATAAGAAAGATCCTATGAAGAAATAAATTTACCATGGAAACACAATATCTTTTTTCTCTCCAAATATTATGAAACTTATTTCATTTTTATAGTTTTTCTTGTCTAATTTAAATGATAAGAATAATTAAAAATAATAAACCCAGACATATAAATGCCAACATTATTTATAAAAAAAAGTGGAGTTCAACATTTAATTTTAAATTAGAGTGCAAATAAATTATTCTGCTAAACACGTTAACATTCTGTTCTTTGTATATACCTTTCTTGTATGCTGGTGCAATTACCATCAAATCTACTATAAAGAAGTACAGTAAGGAAAACATTAAAAGGGCCATGTGAAATATACAAAATTGCCATTAAAAAAATTGCAATTCAAATCATCCATGCAGGCTATATAATGAAATAAGATTGATACACAACATATCAGTAATAGTTTTAATTAAAGAAAATACTGGATGGTATTTCACACTATACTTTACTGCACACTAAGCATTCAACAGGGGTTTATCCAGATTATGGAGTTCAATCTGGATAATTTTGACCAGGTTTTATGGAAGTGACAATACTGTGAGAAATAATATGCAAAGGTGAGAAACAGTGCTGGGGATAACTTGTCACCTCAGCACTGCATTCAGAAAACGCGTGAGGTCAGCACTTCTGAATATACCACATACCCAGCTCTGTATCTCCCCTTCATTTATGTAACAGGCCTTTCTGTTTCTCTTTTCATCTGATGCTTCTAAATACCCTACATAGCTCTTCCCATATTGTTTTAAATTTCAATTAGAGATATGTAT